TCCTTGATCAATACAATTTTGCCATTGTTCAACTTAACTCTAACATTTCCCATTCCTTTAGCATTCAGATACTCATCATCAGCACACTTGATTTTGGTCCTTTCACCAAAGTAAAAATCAACCAACCATTCCTTGTTTTCAGTTAGGTGATTTGAGCAGCCAGTGTCCATATACCACCAATCTATCATTGATCTACCTATATTTTTATATGTCATTAATAACATAGGTTCATCATCAGAATTTTCTCTAGCTATGTTGGCTTCTTTACCCTTGCTAACCTTGTTTGACTAGCAATCAGCAGCAAAATGGCCAAACTTGTTGCAACTGTAGCGCTAAACCTTTCTCTTGTCAAACTTCTCCTTTCTCTTCTGAACATTGTGATATTTCTTATCAGAATTGGAGAGTTATGACTTCTGAACACCACCACCATACTTCTTCTTGTTCTCTATCCATACTTGTGTCTGGTTCTTCTTACCAGAAGAAACTTTCAGAGTCTGTTCTAACTCTTTTTTAGAGTGTCTTTTAGTCAAACGTAACTCATGTGCCTCTAAACTACTTTAAAGCCCTTCAATTCCCATGGTGTTAGTGTCATTAGAGTTTTATATGGCTACAACTATGTAATCAAACTTATGAATAAGTGATGTCAGTACCTTTTTAATGATAACTTGTTAGGAGAGCGCTTCTCCACAAGACTTCATCTCATTTGTGACCACAATCACTTTGGAGATGTAATAAGGCACCTTCTCATTGTTCTTCAAGTTGAGATTTTCATATTGCTTCCGCAGGAACTGCAATTTGACCTTCTTCACTAATGCGTCACCACCATAACACCGCACTAGTGTATCCTACGCCGCCTTCGTCGTTGTCGAATCAACAATTTTCTCAAACATCTTTGTATCTACACACTAATGGATATAGAACAACATCTTCTGATCCTTCTTTCTCATTTCCCTTTACGCAGTTATTTGTGCTCCTGTTGCATTTTCTACAATCAACGTGTAATTGTCACTGACGAGATCAAGAACATATTGAGCTCTAAACAGCACGTGCATCTGAATCGACCGCTGATTTCAATTCTTTCTGATGAATACTAAAAGCTTTGTGTTCAAGCTGCTGTTTCTGCCATTCAACTTCGTTCTTGTGCAAATCACTCAGTTATCACCAACACTCGTGTTTTCCAAATCCTGAGAATCAAGATTTGTGATTCTCCTTGATTTCAAATTTCAATTCAACGCGATTTTCAGAAACGAAATTAATCACACACCTCACTACACTAGTGTTTCCCTGTGAATAGACCCGGAGCTCTGGATATCAATTGTTGGAGTTCAACAATGAACCTCCATTAACAATGCACAAGAAGGAAGAAGATAATGAGCAGTTGGAGAGAGAGAGAGAGAGAGAGAGAGAGAGAGAGAGAGAGAGAGAGAGAGAGAGAGAGAGAGAGAGAGAGAGAGAGAGAGAGAGAGAGAGAGAGAGAGAGAGAGAGAGAGAGAGAGAGAGAGGGGGGGGAGAGAGAGAGGGGGGGAGAGAGGGAGAGAGAGAGAGAGAGAGAGAGAGAGAGAGAGAGAGAGAGAGAGAGAGAGAGAGAGAGAGAGAGAGAGAGAGAGAGAGAGAGAGAGAGAGAGAGAGAGAGAGAGAGAGAGATTTCTAAATAAGTTTTTCAATTTAGAAATGTGTATGATTCTATTACAAATTCACTTTCATTTGAGTTTGATACAAAGACTCAAATGAAACTCAAATTCAAATACAAATATAAATGGAAATGAAAATTAAACTAATCTTAAACGTTAAATTACATTTAACAATACCTTCATCCATCATATCTTCTTTGCAAAATCTATAAATAAGAGAATTATAACTAACAATATCAAGCTTTATCCCTTCTCTTTCCATTTTATCATGGACAAACAAAGCCTCATAAACCTTCCACACCATGTTAGTAACATCATCTTTCAACAATGAGTTCAAAAGCACATAATAAGCATGCAAATGAGGCTTTAAATTACACAAACTCATCTGCTCAAAAACTTGTACCGCATCATGGCTCATCTTTGATTTTGCATAATATATCACAATCCAACTTAAAACATGTGAATTAAGTTCAGGGTCATCATGAATCCTCACCAAAAAGTTCAAAACTGAAGGCGATGAAAGTATTATCATTTGGACAATTTTATCAAGTACCTGATGTGCAGTATTGAAATGTTTGTGTTTGGTGAGTATGTGAAGCATGGAGCATGAAGATTGTAAGGAATGAGTGTTGTTTGGGATAGAATGAACCCATTTGAAGAATGAGAAGATAAAAAAAAATCAATAACGGTGTTGTGTGAGGTGCAACATACATTAGTGAATGGTAATGGAAGTCAAAGCAAATGCAGCATACATTGGTAAATGGTAATGGAAGTTAGAGCAAGATGAACAAGAAGATCACTAAATTTATAGAGAAGTTTGTAACCCCCTCAATCCATTACGTTTTTTTGTAGTCAATCAACGTGTTAACTTTAAGTGACGTGGCGGGCCACATCAGCTTTCGTTAGAAAAAATAGATGGCATAATCAAAATTGTAGACAGAAAACCTTAGGATAAGCATTATTTAAAATAAATTTTTATATAAACTAAAACCAAATTTGGAGTTATTTATAAGAATCATCATCTATCATTTTTTTCAAATCTGACAATTGAGCGTTGTATGGTAGTTATAGCTGAATGTAGGGTTTTCAAAACCAGTCATAAATGGATGTAGGGTTTTCAAAACTAAATCAGCCCAATAAAAATCGTTAATCAAATGGAAAACCGCATAAAGTCAAGTTTAATTCGAATGTGTTTGAATAATTTTTTAACAAAACAATACAGTTTAATTTGCAATTTGTATTTTACAAATTAAACAAAACAAATTGTATTATGTTACAACTCAAATTTTCCTTAACCAACCTAATTGTATGTATGAGCAAATTTGTATTTTACAAATTAAGCAAAACAAATTGTATTATTTTACAACTCAAATTTTTCTTAACTAAATACTACTCTCTCTGTTTCAAAATAACTGTCGTTTAAGATTTTTGTACACAAATTAAAAAATACAATGATTTATTAAAAAATATTATACTTTTATTAAATTAGTCTTATTAATATTACTGCATTAAAAAGTGAGAATCACATTTATTTTGAAAGAAAAAAAAATTCTCTAAAACAACATTTATTTTAAAACTAATGGAGTATTTTAAATATAATCGTATACACTATAACTTATTAGTAATGTATGAATAACTATACACCATTGCCCTTTATAAATATATGAATGGCTCAAAAAAATTGTAAAAGATTAAAACACTCAAACCACATAAATCTAATTTTATTTTATTTTTAAAAATCAGCCGTACCATTCAATTTTTCAATTTTGTTTTTATTTTTAGCATAAAAACCGCATCGCATACACCCATAACTAAATCATAACTAAATGACATACTGAAATCCCTAAATTGGAAATAGAGTTCTACCGATCTAAAAAGGAAGACTAGGAGGAAGAAGAGATTTTTTTTTATTTTGTAAATAATCAATGAGTATATTATTTTTCTTGTCCTTGATATTAAATATACAAGATTGATATAACCAATAAATACCCAATCATTACAGCACATCATCACACTCATAGGGAGTCATAGGGATGGCAACGGGACGGGTCGGGGCGGGTTTAACTATACCCGCACCCGCCTCCATGTAACAGACCCGCCCCCGCCCCCAAATTCAATTGAGGTGAAAATTTACCACCCAGACCCGCCCCCAGTCGAAAACGGGTGCACCCGCACCCGCCCTCACCCGCAAAATATTATTATTTTTTAATTATAATAAAAATTAGTAATTTAATTAAAAAATTAATTATTTTAATAAATTAATTAATTATTTAATTAAAATTTTAATTAATAAATAAATATTAACTTGATTAATTTTATTATTTTAATTACAATAAGAATATTAATAACTTAATTAAAAGTATAATTAATAAATAAATATTAAAATAAATAAAATAAAGAAATTAAAATAAAATATATTATTTAGGGCGGGGCGGGAGCGGGTGGGTCTTAGGGTCTACCCGCATCCGTAGTTAAGAACCGGGTTTCATCCGCACCCGCACCCGCACCCAATTAAATCGGATTTTCCCCGTTAATTTCGAGGCGGGCCCGGGCGAGTGTGGGCGGGCCCGAGTTTGTTTGCCATCCCTAGGGAGTTGAGATATTCTGGAACTAATAATGTTGTTTAGCTCTGACTTACTCCGCCTGGCTCATAGTCATATTTAATGTTTTTTAAATAAGAATTAATTGTGCTAATTTCAATGATAATAATAGATAGTAAAATAGTTATATTTATTAAAATATAATAAATAAATAATGATAAGTTAGTAGAAATAAATAATAAATATTACATCAGTTGATATTTTCAAAAAAATAAATAATTTAAAACAAATAAAAATAAGAAAAAGAACACCTATTACGAGATGGAGGGAGTAGTAGAAGGAATATTTTCTCTACACATAACTTATGATATACGCCAACATTTGGTTTTCAGTTTCTCTTTTATAAATATGGAGAAACCTCATCAAAGTTTTTTGATATCATGTGAGAAGTAACTAGATAAATAAATTTATGCAGCCAATTGAGCTAAATAATGTTTGCTATCCAAAAAGGAAACAACATATCCAGAAATGACAACTTTATGAGAGAATACTCACAATTCATTACGGTAATCATCCAACAAGTAAGAAATGTATTAGCAAACATAAGGCACAGAAAGTCACCAACAAAAGAACTCATTGGTTGACTTTCACATTGTTTATATATATCAACATTTCATCATGATCTAAGAGTAAGCATGAATAGTGAAAACATTGGGGTCTGCATATTGTGCATGCCAATGATCACAACAAAACAGTTTTAACAGTTGAAATAAGAAAACATCTACCATACTAACAATAGGTTCTTAAAAAAGTTGATAATAGTGTGTTACTAGATAAGCGGTGGGTACTGCTTTGCCTGCAGCCGGACCCTTCTCTTATACTCGGTGGTATCCTGCAAAAATTATTCATATCAGATCACAAGGTCTCAGAATCTATTATTCATAATGCAATTTTCAGAAACTATATTCGAGAATGTGTGCAATAACAATCTATGAAGCACGGACTCCAACACAGACACGGGGATACGACAAGGACACTCTGACACCTATATATCAAAAACATATGACACCAATACCGCTGCATATAAGATAGTATTTAAATTTTATTTATCTATCTATACTTAAAAGAGTTGAAAATATTCTAATCAAAATTAATTTTTTTAATTATTTATTAATAGCATTGCTTCAATACATGTTAACTCTTTTAGATGTGTGAGATTTGTTTAATAATTGTATAAAGTTGTGCAGAAACAAAGGAAAAAACAAACTTTCGTTTGAAACGTTTGTCTGAATTGTCTGACATATGCAGTATGAGTGTCATATGTGTGTTGGACATTGATTTAAAGAGTGTCGAAGTAAAAAAAAAAAAAACCATTTTTCAGGTGGCACTTGTCTGACTTTTCTGACACGTGTCATACGGGTGTCGGACACCGATGCGTGTTGGACACCGCAACACGCCTACTCCTAGAGGTGTCCGTGCTTCATAGATAACAATCCTAATATCAACAATCTCAGATAAACAAGACCGACACATGGATATTGAACACTTTGAAAAGTAGACTACCGTGTCAACCAACTGTGCCTTGACTCTAAACCAGACAAAAAATAGTCGGGTTTCTTGTCAAGGTGGTCTTGGACGCCCACAAGAATTAATTAAGTACCTGGATAAATAGATGATAGCCTTCTGTCTGGGCAGGATCAGCAGGATTTGGTTGATCAAGCAAATCTTGGATGCCAACGAGAATCTGCTTCACTGTTATGGCTGGTCTCCACCCCTACATGTAATAATGAACCTATAATCAGTTTGCTTAGAATGTTCTATCACATTATGAATTAGTTTTAAACAGTCTTGCTAAGTTTAAGAAAGATGTACTTACACTGTCTTCATTAAGTATAGACAAGCAAACAGTTCCAGATGGGTAAACATTAGGGTGGAAGAAACCTTGCGGGAATTTACACTTCGGAGGCTTGCTAGGGTAGTCTTCACTAAAGTGTAATGTAAGTGGGAAGAAGCCACCTTCCCAATCAGTCTGCAGCAAATAAATAAAATTAATAAGATGAAAATTAGAGGCTCAAAACACAATAAGATGCTTAAAAAATTTGCAAGCTCAATCCTAGCAATGAAGACGGAAAACAAAGTGTGATTCTTTTACAATACATTCAAGGGTAAAATATTCTTGGCTTGAAGTAAAAAAAACAAGAAACTACGAGCGTGGGAAACAGACACCCATGGAATCTGCAATCAAACAGCTGCTTCATTACTAGGAGCGTCGCTAAAATCTTCAATTTGTCATCTTGAGCAGCACCCAACATAGCTGAGAAGTTTGCGCAAGCATCACCTTCACTGAGAAGGAGACTATGATACTTTTCAATTAAGAGCCAAGCAAGTCCCTAATGCTTTGGAGGATAGAAGCATAGTGGTTATTAATCGTATTAGAAGGCAGGGTAGTAGCATTCTTTGCATCAGAACAAAACATAACAGTTTCATATCCCAAGCAACAGCCAAACTATGAAAAGTAACCTGAAGTTCCACATAAAAACTAGAGGAAACACCAAAAAATACCACAAAGCCCCATATCCAATCACCGTGAATATTCCTAAAGAGACCTCCACATGTAGACCTGAAGGAGATTTCATGACAGCTGTTGGTAAATGGGGCCAGAGAATCAGGGCTTTTAAATGATTGGTGTGATGCCCATTCACTAAGACACGTACCTTTGGTGCCTGTGCCTTAGGCATACCTTTCAATTTCAAGCATGTGCCATTATATAATTGTAAAACAAACAAAACAAACATTTGGAAAAATAGTCAGAAAAAAGGCAAAAACTAACTGGCTGTCAGTTTCTCTTACTCTACACGCCAAGCAATCTTTTACATGTATACTACATTATAGCCAATAAGTCTGGTTATTTTCACAATGGTTACACTTTTTACTGTTTTCCTTTTCCAATGAGGCAGTGACACACTTTTTGGCCCCTTGTCTTCATGACATTTTAAAACACACCTTAGAGCCAATTGGCCCACTGTCTCTAATCTTAGCATCATATTGTCTAATTTCTAATAAATAGAAGGCAAGATGCAAAAGGTAATTGAAGGAGAGACATTAACACATAACACAGCCGGCACAAGAATGAGCATACGAAAAACTGCATCTATTATAGTCAGTCCATAAGTGTTGAGTGTAACCAAAATTCTCAATATCTATTTTTATAGTTTTTAAACAAATTTATATCTTACAATTAATATGAAGACGTGAAGAATGTGATACGTATGAAAAATAAGTCAAATATGCAAGATGATAGAGTTTTTTTAGTGAGAAATTTTGTGAGAATTTAGTGTAGTCAAGTCATAGAAGGGGGATTGGTAGTTAAACAAGTTCTGCAGATTAGAAGTATTTGTACTAAAGGACTCTTCTTAAGATGAAATAGCTTAAATAACAAGAACCCGTAAATAAAACCAAACAATATTGATTAGTTGTGGACGGGTATATTGAACAATTGACTACTACCTCATGAATTTGACTTCAATTATCCATAATATCAAAGATCACACGGAAATTGCAATCTAAAATTATGGTTATGAAATGGAGAAGATTCCTAATAGGTTCTTATATCAAGTCTAGCTCATTCTTACAAAACCGTCATGAAAAGGACTCTATCTTAAGATGCAATAGATTGAATAACAATCCATTACAGAAATCCTAATAATGGTGATTAGTTGTGGCCGGGTATACCGAATAGTTGACGGCTACCACATGAATTTTGACTTCAATTCTCCGTGATATCAAAGATTGCAATTTAAAATCTTAGTTATGAAATTGAGAAGATTCATATTCAGTTCATATATTGGGTCTAACACATCCTTACAAGTGTGACTTGTAATACATGATGTGTCACTCTTCATAACCTAATTTCAGAGGCAATTAGATTTTTCTTCAAATATACAGCCTCACACCCAACACTAATAGGTTGATGTGTGGATATAAACAGTGGTGGCCCGAGTCAATATACTCAAACACCATATTAGATTTTATACATAACAAAAACAAAAAATCAACATAACAAAAACAAAAAATCAATATAACAAAAAAGAAACTTAAGAGTTTAATTCATTCATAATCAACCAAAAAAACTGATAGAAAATTAAAGAGAAAAACAAACCCCAGTTTTTCCAGGAATAGTACAATGCCAGATCATCAAATTCACGGAACCATCCGGCAGTGTCTCTGGCTTCGCAACAAAACCCTAAATCACAAAAGAAAAAAAAACAAAAACGAAACCAATTAGAATCAAAACAAACCCTAGGAAAAAAAAAGAGATTCAAAACAGAACCACAAAGGAGTAGAAACACTGATTGTACGGACATGAGGATGATTCTTCCGCCATGACTTACGCTCCTCGGTAAGACGTCCACGAGCAATACCAGACATGATGCAGTGTTTCCCTTTCTCTGTGTTTTTCTCCTCCGAGTCACGAAGTTAACTCGCTCTCAAGCTCCGAGTCGGCTCAGTGCTTCAGAGAGTTAGAAGAGAACGAGACACTTTCGTTTGAGCAAACAAAGATACTTCTATTCTAAGCAATGGTCTTAAAATAAAACGTACGGTCCTGATTTGATTATCGATTCTCGAGAGATTGATGTTTTCGTACTTTTTTATTTAATTTAATTTTTTTTAATGTTGTTATGTCTGCAAAAGTGCAAAGTCAATGTAATATTCCTATATATGTGATTTTTCTTTTTCTTTTTTCTTTAAAAACTAAAAAATTTCGCGTGAGAATCACGCCGAAGTAGCCTTCACGTGACCAACTATGTCTTTTTCTTTTCCAAAAGTTGACCAAAACCTAATAATTTTGGGAGTAACATAAGTAGTGAGTAGTACATTGTTTTGTTTCAGCGAAAAAGAAATAATTAAACTGTTTTTTTTTAATGTTCATATAAAAATTTAACTAGATCAATCAAACACAAATGTTATTGATTTTAATATTAATTTTATATCATTCAAAATTAATCAATTAAAACTTGAATAATTAATTTTATCATTTAGTTTCTATATTTTGTAGAGTTATATTTGTAAGAGGTTCAAATAAGAACGATTACATGTTTTTGTTTAGAATGATGTCGCTCATACGAAATGTGAAGGGTTCGTTTTTGAGATAGATGATATGTGTGGTCTCGCTATCTCTTGTTGACTATGTGAGAAGAATCGTAACAGAGAAAATCTTCTGACTTTTAGGGTAGATCATTAAGCCTTAAAATATAAATATAAATATAAATATAAAATTACACTTATGACATTTAACAAAGTGGAGAGCCGCTCAACATTAAAAAAAAAAAAAAGATATATTACAAAAATATTAAAACACGAGAAACTATTTGTCGTCCACTGGTTGACCTTCCCAACTCACCTGAAAGGGATCCATCGGATTTAAGTACATATCAGAATAAAGAAAGGTGGGATGTCTTTTTGGCCTCTCAAAATGTTGGGCAGTGATGGTCATTACTTCTTCCTTGAGTAACAAGAGTTTCACATGTGTTGCATGTCTTCTCAAGCGACTCTTTCAGACACCCCACCTCTTTGAATTAGGCGAGATCCTCAACAATTATTTCTTTGGTGTGCACCTTCATAACTATATATAAAGTCATTAACTATATATAAAGTCACTCACCCTTAGTGTTTAACATAAAGAACTTAGTTAAAGTATTACTTTAGTTTAGTAGTATTCTAGGTTCTCAGAATTGGCTATTCTCTTTACGAGGATAGATTTTGTCAAATTAGGCGGAAGTACGTCTTGTTCTATGTATGCCATAATAGATAATATCCAAAAGAATTAAATGACATCGCCTACGGCCATTGTGGCGACTTTAGAGGCTTCAATTTGTGATTTTCTTTAATGAAAGAGTGGTTGATCTCGTATCCTCTTGTACTCGTAGCTTAAAGAGGAAATATGCACGAGTTTTCTGCTCTCTATGAACGAGTGCAACCTCATATGTCTTGAATTTCACTAGACTTTTCCTGGCCAACGCCATGTACCTCTGTGCTAATGAACCTATGGTTTGGGCTTGCCCTCTAAATTAAGAGATTACAAGTTGAGAATTTATCATTGGTTTAACATTATATGCCTCATCGATGTCGCTAGGGAAAGCTCTGTAATTATTGTATCATACTCGGCATGGTTATTGATGGCAGGGAATTCAAAGTGTAAAGAGACTTTAATCATCAAATGACTTTGTTTATGAGTATTGAGTCATTTCTACAACCTCGAGTATTAGACGAGCCGCTCATAGATACAATCCACATGTGGGCTAGATTTGGTGAACTAGAAGTCAGTTCGGCTATGAAATATGCAAATAAATGTACTTTCAAAGCTTTCTTTAACTTAGAAAAGATGTCGAAGTTAGACATTTCGGTCGACCATTTAGCCAGTCAGCCCGCAAAATCTGGACAGTGAAGTATTTATTTCATGGGTAGGTCAATTCGAAAAACTATGTAATGTGCTAGAAAATACCTTTGTAGTTTCCTAGACACAGACACCAGCAATATAGTCGCTTTCTCGATTTTATGTTAGAGCATCTCAGATTGGCCAAAGCTTTGAAAATGAAGTATATCGGGCTTTGATGGGAATTTAGCAACCTAATCAGGATAGTGCTGATGGCCACTTCTGAAACGACAAGATATTGATATAAGACTTCCCTAATGATCTACCATGTAAGGATTCATGGAGTTGACGAATCGGTGTTTAGAAAGAAGAAAGCTTATTTTTGTTTTGAGGTCCACCTGAATTGTGTGTCATTTCTTAACAACTTGTAAAATGGTAGGGCATACTAGGTCAACTTCAAGATAAACTGATTCAGGGTCGTTAGCATCCTGTTGAGTTTCATCACTTATTTCTTGGTGGAGAGAATGCGTTCATCTCCACGACTACCTCGCACTTGTCATGGTTGTCCTACATCCCTTTTTCTATTAGATAAAACCTAGAAAGTTTCCTACTTTAAGCTTCTCAAGTAAGAGACTTTGATGCTTAAGCACATAGAAAAAGACTTTATCTAAACTACTAAACAATCATGTTTAGCATAATAGAGAATAAGATGTACTTAATACAAAATCAGAGGTGCAAGGTAATCATCATAATAAAGACCTTAAGCACTTAAGATTGCTAAGATATTCAATGTTTAAGAAATATTAAGGCTTACTACAATTTACAACATATAACAAAAATTTTGCATACTCGATTGTGTTGTTTATTGTTGATCTTGTTATTCCTCCATCCAGACAGAAGTGTAGAACACTTTTATCCTTTTTGGCTTTCCTTATATATTTGCTCTTTTGATTGCTCCTTGTTGAAGACCTCAATTTGAATCTTCAATAGCTTATATATTAGTTGTAGAAGATTGGCCGTTGGAAGAGATAACTTGAACGAGTGTCTTTATTTTTTCATAGTACAAGAGACGTTGAAGAGAGATACACCAAAAGATCTTAATCCATTGTGGAAGATGTTTCACCATTGCGTCTTCCCTGTAATCTTGTACTATAGATTCGTTGAGAGTATATATCCGTAAAGCATGTAAACTCTTCTTGAGCCATGTGAACATAGACTTTAGCTAACAAGTTGATTTGACAATGCAATTTGCTTTCTGAAGTATGGATAACTCAAGCTTTATTACTAGATCTGAATGTTTACCAAAAGTTGATACTTTAACTTAGTGTAGAGACAATATGTTGCTCTTCTGATGCTGAGGCCTCCGGCTTCAGAGTCTACACCATACATCACTTAGAGAATGTTCTTCAAATTTTGATCCACTAGAAGCTAGTAACTCAGCTCCTCTCAAATGTGTCCTTATATTAGATTTTGAATGCCTTCTCTTCAAGCTTTACAACATGCATACTTGGAACACACATTAGATAACACCATTTTTTTAATACTTTGTTATCATCAAAACCTAAGAGATATATGTCATGAACAAATCTTGTTCTACAAATAAATTAAAAATGGTGACAATGAGTAAGACACCTTAACTGTTCCTCTAACCACACCTAATTTTTTCGTCAGTGGGATCACGACCGAAGGAACTTCTGTAAAACTTAGCATAAGTTTGAGATTTTTGCTCATCTCGGATATTTATCACAGTCTCAAGGTCTTGCATATGAATTTCAGGAAAAGTAAACCCTCGAGAAACCTTCTTAATGTCCAACCTTAAAACTATGGCACTTTAAGACTGATGTCTCAATACCAAAACACAATGTCAAGACAAATGTTAAGACATCGTCTGCTGGCAGAAAATAATTAAATGCAGAAATTAAATTGCAGAAGAATAAATAACACCAGTAGTTATTAACCCAGTTCGGTGCAACTCACCTACATCTGGGGGCTACCAAGTTAGGAAGGAAATCCAATATAATATTATTAGTTTAAATTTAAACTCCATTATTTACAACATATCACCTAATTACTACCTGTACTAACTTCTACCTAGGAACTCCTAGATATGATAACCCCCTCTCACTTTCTACCAATCACACAACAGTGACAATAACAATGACACAAAATACATAAGGACAAACTTCCAATCGCAATACTCAGTTTCACTTAACAACTTTATACTGAGAATAATACACTCGTGCTTAAAAGCTCATAAGCAAACAATAAACAAATAATTTGATACACAATCAACTATTTGCTTAAAAGCTCATGAGTGATTGCTAAGTAAAATATGTTCAACTCTTATTATCAAAAGATAATAGAGTGGATCACAAAGAACAAAGAACACACTAAAACCCTAAACCCTTATCTCACGCATACACAATTTCTTTATATTTTTTCTGCTTAAGTTTTGAGGTTTAGTAAGTCCTTATATAGAGACTCTTGTAGTATGGGCTTGGACTCTTCAATCAAATTCAATCTTCCAGTTCTAAATCACCTGCAGAATATTTTCCCAAAAAATAGGAACGAATCTTCAAAGTTCCCTAAAAACTCTCCAAGATCCTTTTTATGAAATCAAATCAAATCTACAATGTTCCTAAAATATCATTGCTTAGTTGCGCCTGTATGAGAACTAAAATCATCCAAAATCTCATATTTTAAAATCAAATCTTCAAGGATTTAAATTGCAGAATTATTCTGATGTTCTGGTATAATATGTCACAACATCTCTCAGAACATCTGTCAAGAAAAGTAACAGCAGACCCTGTTGTACCCGTTGGTCAAGATGTCATGACATCTTGCTCAACATATGGTTGTGATACATGTTTCTCCAAATTAAACATGTTTTACCAAAATTGTTTCCAATCATAAAATCACAGACCTAACAATCTCCCTCTTTAGCAAATTTTGGCTGAAACAACCTTTGCACAATAATTCTGGAGAAGAGGAACAAAACCACAAACACAAAACACAAGCTACATAAAAACATGTAAACTTTGTACAAACTGCAAAC